CGAAGCCACCTTTGACAGTCAGGTCCATCCCGTAGGCCGGTGGCTTGGACAGATTGATGTCGTCGAAGTGTGCGTGACGGCCCAAGTCTGCATCTTCTTCTGTCACGGTCCCCGGCATGTCCCAAAAGAACTTGAAGTGGATTGCCGGCGAGTCTAGGATTTGTGAATACCTGGCATACTCCACGTGAGACCAGCCTTCGTGATCGTCGCGCTCGTCCTCGTCCAGGTACCTACCAAGTCCATGCCACGACCGATTCTCATCCTGAAATTCATCGTAGGGATAGTATTTCTTGGTGTTACCGTCTTGTGATGCAGTCGTCCGCAATGAACTCCTGGAACTTCCTAGACCTGGCAGAAGTCGTTTGAATCCACGGAAAGCTTTCCCAATTCTGCGTCTAAGACCGAGATTCACTTGCCACCAGCGTCGCGGGTGGTTGAGAGACTCTGCGGCTGATATTATCCTCTCCGCCGCAACATACTGAGTCCTGCGAAAGTCTGGATTGGGTTTCATTTCAACTTTGGGGTGGTCGATGGTGAAATCGAACACCTGCCGGAAGAAGTCTGACGGCCCCGCTGCGCTCGCATCGATATGGCCTTTTGCACCTGCAAAGGTAGTGACGACCAATGCCCGCGTGTTCTCATTTCCAAGTGAGATTGCGCCTTTTGAGCACTCGAGAGCGATCGGCAGGACACGAAGAATCCAAGGATAGGAGGATGGTATGTCTGCGACAGGTCGCTCCATGTCCGGGGCCACGCTGGCGTAGGTATCTGTGCGACCGAGAGGGACAGCAAAATCGCTCGTTGGTGAGTCCCGGTCAGCCTTTTCGCCAAGTTGGCTGTCTGCGGAGGCGACACTATGAGCAGTATCTTTCGAATGAGGTCTTGTCTTGTCCCTACGGAGATGGAGCTTGCCCAGCATGTGGTCGTGTTTCTGGCCGGTATTATGGTTCTGCGAGTTGCAGCCCTTGAGATCGTGATTCAAAACACCTTGGACAATGGAGTCGTATACGGGAGTTCTGTTGTAGACAAACCATTCCAAACCCGAGATATGAGCCGAGATTCGGGCCTCTGCTGTCGTTTTCACTCTGAAACGGCCATTCTCGGGGTCTTCAGAGGGAGTCTCTGAATCGTCAGACCCGTCCAGCGGTGACTTTTTCTTCTCCTTGACCACATAATCCTCCTCTTCTCCTTCCAGCCCCGAGAGATCTACCTGCCGCGCGGAGGACTGCCAATACCTCCAAGTGATGTAACCATTCTGGATCAGGACAGTTTCGTTCTCGGCATGATAGCGGATGCCTTTGAAGAAGATCCGTCCGGCTAAGAAGGATAGCTGAAGCGCTTGAATATCGATCCAGACTCGGTACTTATGCCAGGTGAAGGCTCTCAGCCCGTAGGAGACAAGGGTCGCGAACAGGCGATTGAAGTAGAAGAGAAAGAAGAGCGTCAAGCATGAGCAGGTGCAGAGTTCGATAAACCAAGTCCTAGAGAGTTTCAGTATCAAATCTGATCCTGCATAAGTGCGACTATTTGAATTGCTCACCAATTGAAAGAGGTATTCCTCGAGATGGGAGCCCCGACTAGGTTATCCATATCCGACATGATTCATGTAGCTGCAACCATGCGACGGCGCGCCCATGGTTACTGGTATTTAGAGGGTGGTCGCATTGTCTGTTGCGTTTCCAGAGCCGTACAGCAGAAAGAAACGGCGGCCAAAAGGAAAATACCTCGAAGGCATGCAGCGGAAGGTGAGCCTGTGTCAAGTTGCGGATGTGGACTCAGATGCGCGATGCTGAGTTGCGGTGATGATGTGTTTCCCCGCAGAAATCCCGAACAGGCACATGCGTGCATCACTTGCACTTTTTCTTGACTGTGATGAATGACCTGCCTACACTCCTTATATGCGATAACAGCGACTTCGTCACATCATCAATACCCGACACCAGTTGCTCCTCTGATAATTTCTGAGGCGTTGGCAAACTCGACATGAGGTCGGCTTGGGGATCGCGGTAACGGGACTGGATTTCTTTCGCGGTGCCTCTTGGGCATTGCGTGCCGTCCGTCATGGAAACAATGGCCAGTGGTGGAACGGGCAGCAAGCTCACCAGAGTCATCATTATCCTCGCGGGAGTATCGTCGCTGCTTGCTACTCTAATTTCATGCGTGTATGTCTCTATATTCCCCATGCTGTTGAAGTCCGCAGTGCTAATCTGCTGCCTAGATCGATATGGCTTCAGTCCAAGAATTACAGGAAACCCTTATTGCAACGATATGTCATTCGAATCCTGCTCATGGTGCCCATTTACTCTGCTGCCTCGTGGGCCTCGATCGTGTCGCTCAAGGCTGCCTTCTACCTCGACCCTCTTCGTGACATTTACGAAGCCTTTACCATCTATACTTTCCTCCAACTCCTCGTCAACTTCCTCGGCGGCGAACGATCCCTCATTATCATGATGCATGGGCGAGCGCCTGTCTCGCACCCATGGCCGATAAGTCTATGGTGCCCCAAGATGGATATCTCGGATCCACATACTTTTCTCCTGATCAAAAGAGGGATTCTGCAATATGCCTGGCTCAAACCTGTCCTCAGTGTGGCCACCATCATCCTCAAGCTCACGGGGACATACCAAGAAGGCTACATCTCCTTGACCTCGGGCTACTTCTGGACGGGCCTGTTGTACAACGTCAGCGTGACCATGAGCTTGTATTTCCTGGCCATGTTCTGGGTGTGTATGCATGAGGATCTCAAGCCTTTCCGACCCATGCCAAAGTTCTTGTGCATAAAGCTCATCATTTTCGCCTCTTACTGGCAAGGATTCTTCCTGTCTATCCTTCAATTCCTAGGGGCTATCCCGAATGATGTCCCAGGTTACACTCCGGACAACCTTGCTGCAGCCATTCAAGATGCCCTGATCTGTTTCGAGATGCCCATCTTCGCTGTGGCGCACTGGTATGCCTTCTCCTGGCATGACTATGCCGACGTCACCATTTCGGCAGCTCGCATGCCCGTCAAGTACGCGTTAAGAGATGCCTTTGGTCCCATGGATCTGATCCAGGATACAAAAGAGACATTCAGAGGAAAGGATTACGACTATCGAACGTTTGACTCTGGGGACAATGTGATCGCTCACGAGGAGTCCCATTCGCGCGTTGCTAGGATGATGGACGGCATGAGGTATGAAAGGGGGGGAAAGGGCAAGTACTGGATCCCAAAGCCGCAGGGTCCTAATAGTCGAACACCACTATTGCCAAAGGACGGGTCATCTCGAGCTCCAGCGCCAGAATCTCGAGGCAAAGCTCACGAATACCGAGCCGCAGACCCCGATATCGAGATTGGGATTGATGCGGAAGACGAACGATTATTTACCAATGCGCGGGCGCTGGAATTCGGCGATTGGAACGTAAGTTACGCATGCTCTCGTGAATGCTGGTCCATGTTTCTAATTGTCCTCCTTCTGCAGTATCCCGTCATTACCGCGCACGAAGCACGGCGTGAAGATTGGTTGCGGCGTGATCCTAACTTGCTAACTACCTCTACAAATCGTCACCTCTTTCAACCGACTCGCGACAGGAAGAGCCGCCGCCAAAGCGAGATCCAGGACCGTATCCGGAAAGGCAAGAATCGGAGCACGTCACCTTCCGAAAGCTCCTCACAGCAAGGTGCCATCGAAGCAAAGTTGAAACGCCCCAAAGAGCGTTCCCCTTCGGCATCGGGGAAGTCTGACCGCAGCCAGCTCGTAGATCTCGTTGTCGAGGACGAAGAGGCGGAAGAGGCGGAGCGAGTCAGAGCTCGAAAGGAAGGCAGCGATGCCTGGAATCGAAAACCCCAACGACATTTCGTACGCACCTACAGCATTGACGAGGAGGCACCAGAAGGACAGGAGATACGAGAAGGCTGGGATCCGGCTAGCGTGGCTGCGAGACCACCACCTCCCGAGAGGGCAGTGAGTGACGACGAGAACAACTTTATCGACCACAAGGATGAAGAAGAGTCTCGGACAGAGCGTGGAGAAGGCCAATATGCCAACATGATCGAGGAAGATAATGTTTGGAGCCGGAGTTGAATTTTGTAACACCATTCTAGGGAGGAAGGACGGCCTAAGGTCTGGAGCTCATTCAAATGGTTAGTATTGGGTTTGACTAGGCTTACCGCTTGTTCTGGTATATGTGGGCAATGAGAGCGTTCAAGCGCACATGGGTTATCCTGCGACAGGCGATAGTCGATGGTCGATGGTCAGTGCTGGTCTCGTCAAGATTCGAGGTCGAAATTGCGCCACCTGTCTGGCAGTTAGTATAGGTATACATCAAAAGCAAGCGCACATAAAGGTTTTGGGAATTGGTCAGCTGCTGAAGGCCGAGGGCAATATCAGGAAGCACTGGACCAATGATATTCTGCGTGCGTCCGCCGGTATAGATGCGTACTCTTCGGATGACTCACTGACCCTTTGTCCTGTGCCATATTGGACCCGGACAGGTCGTATCCTACTGCCTCCCGAGGAGGTAGAGTCATAGCACCTCTCGTATGGCGCAGCTAGATACAGTACCAGAGGAAGCGGTGGCCAAAGGCCGGAGTTAACAGCTTGCACGGCAGACAGCGACCCGACGGTGACTGCGCCCTCGATCATTGGCGGGGTACCACGGTACGGGAACTCACCCTGTCACCTCACTCGCTCACTTGTTGAACTTGCTGGGACCCTCCAAGCCCCACGTGAATGCTTGCTTGGCAAATTGCCGCACTCGACTCTTGCATTTCTAACCACCAAGATTTTCTCATCTCAGTCCAACCCCTCCCTCACCCTCTTTTCCCTTCGAGTTCTCCCTCACCAAACACGCGGCTCAACCAGCTGCAATTTCCATCCTTCTTCGTCTATACCCGCGCAGGTTCTCGCTCCGTTTTTTGGCAGATCGAGCGAGCTCTCGATCTTGCATCAATTCTTCTCAGTAGCTCAAGGGAGCGCACTATTCCGCCGTTTTAGGGCAGTTCAACATCAAAAACCGTCGAAATGGTCAACGTAAGTCTACATCGTTCTCGCTCTGTATCAGCTGGTCATGGCTAACTCATTGGCAGTTTACGATCGAAGAAATCCGCGCTGTAAGTTACCCCTCCCTCGACAACACCTGATTATGCAGTTGGACTTCATTGGATTCTGGCTGCTATGCGAGATGTGGACTAATACCCCAAAAAGTTGATGGACAAGCCGGCGAACATTCGCAACATGTCTGTCATTGCTCACGGTATGTCGCACATCTGTCGTCTAGAGACTACGGAAGCTGACCGGATACGCAGTCGATCACGGCAAATCCACCTTGACCGATTCTCTCGTTCAGCGAGCTGGTATTATTTCTGCAGCAAAGGCAGGAGAAGCGTAGGTCTTCGCGCCACTATGCGCTCAAGGGAAAGATAATGACAATTCCGCAGCCGGTTTACAGACACAAGAAAAGATGAGCAGGAGCGTGGTATCACCATCAAGTCGACTGCCATCTCCCTTTATGCCCATCTTCCGGACGAGGAAGATTTGAAGGACATTCCCCAGGTGAGAGATGCGCTCGAGTCGCTGATACCCTGCCGATGACTAATTCATTTCTCAGAAAGTCGACGGTAACGAATTCTTGATCAATTTGATTGATTCGCCCGGCCACGTCGACTTCTCATCCGAGGTGACGGCAGCTCTCCGAGTTACCGATGGTGCCTTGGTGGTCGTCGACACCATCGAAGGTGTCTGTGTCCAGACCGAGACTGTGCTCCGACAGGCTCTTGGTGAGCGTATCAAGCCAGTGGTCATCATCAACAAGGTCGACCGAGCTCTGCTCGAGTTGCAACTCCAAAAGGAAGATCTCTACCAATCTTTCCTTCGTACAATCGAGTCGGTCAACGTTATCATCTCCACCTACCTCGACAAGGCCCTGGGTGATGTCCAAGTCTTCCCCGAGAAAGGCACCGTTGCGTTCGGTTCCGGGCTTCACGGTTGGGCATTCACCGTGCGGCAATTCGCCGTCAGATACGCCAAGAAATTCGGGGTTGACAAGACCAAGATGATGGAACGTCTTTGGGGCGACAACTACTTCAACCCAAAGACCAAGAAATGGACCAAGACTGCCGAGCACGAGGGAAAGACCCTTGAGCGTGCTTTCAACCAATTCATCCTCGACCCCATCTTCAAGATCTTTGATGCATTCCAGAAGGGAAAAGTCGACCAACTCGTTGAGCTCTGCGCCAAGCTCGAGATCAAGATCACCAGCGAAGAAAAGGAACTTCCGGGCAAGGGTCTTTTGAAGGCTGCCATGAGGAAGTTCTTGCCGGCTGCCGATGCCCTGCTCGAAATGATGGTTATCCATCTGCCCTCTCCCGTCACTGCCCAGAAATATCGTGCCGAGACCCTGTACGAGGGACCGGCTGATGACCCATCCTGCATTGCGATCCGCGACTGTGATCCCAATGCCGATCTCATGCTCTACGTCTCCAAGATGGTGCCAACTTCCGATAAAGGTCGTTTCTATGCCTTCGGTCGTGTCTTCGCTGGTACTGTCCGATCCGGCATGAAGGTCCGCATCCAAGGGCCCAACTATGTTCCTGGCAAGAAGGAAGATCTGTTCATCAAGTCCATTCAACGAACTGTCCTGATGATGGGTCGTACCGTCGAGCCTATTGATGACATGCCCGCTGGTAACATCATTGGTTTGGTTGGTATTGATCAGTTCTTGCTCAAGTCTGGTACTCTCACCACTTCCGAAACCGCCCACAACCTGAAGGTCATGAAGTTCTCCGTCTCCCCCGTCGTGCGACGATCGGTCGAAGTGAAGAACGCCAACGACTTGCCCAAACTCGTCGAAGGTCTCAAGCGATTGTCCAAGTCCGATCCTTGCGTGTTGACGCAAATCTCCGAATCCGGTGAGCACATTGTTGCCGGTGCCGGTGAGCTTCACTTGGAAATTTGCTTGAAGGATTTGGAAGAAGACCACGCCGGTGTTCCTCTCAAGATCAGCGACCCAGTCGTGTCTTACCGTGAGACTGTTGGCGGCACCTCGAGCATGACTGCCCTGTCCAAGTCTCCCAACAAGCACAACCGTCTGTATGTCATCGCCGAGCCTCTTGGTGAGGAAGTGTCGAAGGATATTGAGAACGGCAAGATCACGCCTCGTGACGATTTCAAGGCCCGTGCCCGTATCCTTGCCGATGAGCACGGCTGGGATGTTACGGATGCTCGTAAGATCTGGGCGTTCGGTCCCGACACCACTGGTGCCAACTTGTTGGTTGACCAGACCAAGGCCGTCCAGTACCTCAACGAAATCAAGGATTCTTTCGTGTCCGGTTTCCAGTGGGCGACTCGCGAAGGTCCGATTGCCGAAGAGGCCATGCGCTCAATCCGCTTCAACATCATGGATGTGACCCTCCACGCTGATGCCATTCACCGTGGTGGTGGCCAGATTATCCCCACTGCTCGACGTGTGCTCTATGCGGCCACTCTGCTCGCCGACCCCGGTCTCCTCGAACCCGTCTACTTGGTCGAGATCCAGGTTCCAGAACAAGCCATGGGTGGTATCTACGGTGTCCTTACCCGCAGAAGAGGTCACGTCTTCTCCGAAGAGCAACGTGTCGGAACCCCGCTTTTCACCGTCAAGGCATATCTTCCCGTTTTGGAGTCGTTTGGTTTCAATGCTGATCTGCGTGCTGCCACCGGTGGCCAAGCCTTCCCTCAATCCGTCTTTGATCACTGGCAAATCCTTCCTGGTGGCTCGCCGCTTGATGCTACTACCATGGTTGGCAAGATTGTTACGGACATGCGTAAGAGGAAGGGTCTCAAGGAGCAAGTTCCGGGCTATGACAACTACTATGGTGAGTTACTCTTTGATTCATGTTCTGTGTTCGATAGTTACTAACGGTGCAAACAGACAAGTTGTAGAGCACTCGACGTGAAGGCGCAAATAGACAAGGCCATGACTTTACGAATTGCATACATGAGTTTATGGTCCTGAGGCATTGTATGATGACAACCCTCCAAAAGCAGATCTGCACGCAACGAGATGCTCGAGGAAAGAAGCAGCAAACCAAGAAGAAGTAGAGCGGAAGAAGTGGTTGTGGTATGAAGGTAGATGATGGGGCCTTTGTCAATCTTGATCCCCGGGAGGCAAGGTTGTCCCATCCATGTCTATTCCCTGCGAAATGGATAGATAAATGTGGCAGCCTCTCCGCCTGTTGCAGTGATAGAAAAATCTCTCTGCTAGTAGAATACGATGAATTGCATTTGATGACATTGACACTGATACTGCTCGGCTCTGGTTTTTGATTCCTATCGAGTCTGTTGTTGAGATGCCAACGGAGGTGTTGTAAACCTACCGGGCTATGTAACCAACTTCGAGGTGTTTATCTTCACCGTAGTTGATCAAATGGAAGTGGTAAGTGGAAATCCACCTCAATAATATCGCTAGTGACGTGCCTGAAATACTTTGTCAACCATCTCTTCACTCTGCCAACAACCGTCCAGCTTCGAGGTAATGCCATGTTGACAGGTCGATATTCAGGACTGTGCAAGGGGTGAACAAACAAAAATGGTGGTTTACTGACATGTCACTGCGTCTTTCCGTGAGTGATCAAACATCATCCCTTGCCGCACATACCAACGACTCTCAGTGTGTTGACCTCTTGACCGTCGCTCACCACATGACGCTGCTTAGTATTGTTCTCGCTGACAATGGACACATTCCTACCGTTTGATCACTCCCGCAAAGGAGAGCATTAACCATGTATGTACATGTGCCAACCGCCCAACAGAATGATTCATGGCCGCTCCTCCAGTCCAGGCGCGGGTGCGGTCCATCGGGTCTTCTTGAACAACCGGTACCTATTTTCGCGATTTGAAAGCCATCGCAGGCAATGTTTGCTCTCTGAGACACCGGAAAAAGCCTAGCAATAAGACGGACGAAAAGACCACCTGGTAGCCAGCTACCTAGCACAATGGGGGACAGATATGGTAACCCTAAGAAGATCGAGAACTTTGTCGGTGTCGTCAACGCCTTCACCTCCCACTTTGGCAAGGATGACGACCAGACCACTGTGACCGAGCAAGAGAGGAGGAAGAGACGAGAAGCGGCGACAGACGTTGCTGAATCGTGAGTACAATTTGTGCTTTGTCTGAAGGCCTGGATACAAAATGGTTCATTGCCCCTAAATACCCTTGAAGATTACACCAATACACCAACGAAAGCAACCCGAAGGGCTTGAAATACGGAGGGAGCGAAGGAGGGACAGAGAGAAATATAGGACCTATGCTAACCATCAAAATGAATGCCTCTCTTTCCCTGTCTCATACAGATACTACAATTTCGCCTCTGCAGCATACGAAAGCGGCTGGTCCACCCATTTCCACTACGCCCCCTTCCCGCCCTCGTTCCCTCCGTGCGACAGCACCATCGCCACGGCGCTGGCCTTTTACGAGCACCGCCTCGCCCTGCTCATAGGCCTGAAGCCGCACATGAAAGTCCTCGACGTGGGCTGCGGCATCGGCGGGCCCGCGCGCGAGATTGCAAAGTTTGTGGGCTGCGAGATCGTGGGCGTGTGCATCAACCAGACCCAGATCGATCGCGCCGTCTACTTGACGAGGATGGAGGGTTTGCAGGACAAGTGTACCTTTGTGAGGGCAGATTTCCTGGTGAGCTAGCTTTCTAGAACTCGAACATCTCAGGGTGTTCCCGCTCTTTCGCTCAAGTCTGCCTCTTCCCACCCATTTTTTCCCCCTCATGATCCGACTATCCCCCCTATACGACAAAGTCCCCTTCAAGCCAGGAGGAGCTGGGAAAGATAACGACAGAACCCACATGTATGAACCAGTACTAAAACCCAAAGCCAGGACCTCCCCTTCGCCCCCGCGTCCTTTGACGCCGCCTACGCCATCGAGGCGACAGTCCACTCCCCCTCCCTCTTGCAGGTGTACAGCGGCGTCGCGCGCGTGCTCAAGCCCGGCGCCGTATTCGGCCTCTCGGAATGGGTCATGACGCCGAAATACGATCCGACAGACCAAAGGCACGTGGGGATGCGGAACCGGGTGGAGAGAGGCAACGGCGTGAGCAACCTGCGCACGAGCGACGAGGCGCGCGAGGCGATGAAGGGGGCTGGATTCGAGATCCTCCACGAAGAGGATTTTGCGGCGCATTTTGACTATGCGAAGAGTCTGGTGGAGGCTTCTGCGTCTGCTTCCGCCACCGCGACGACGAAGATGAAGATGAAGACGAAGACGAAGACACAGAGAGGGGTGCCCAGGAAGAATCGGGGCAATGACATCGACATTGAAGGACACGAGAGCACCAGCCCACAGGACCACACCCTTTCCTCTCCCATCCCTTTTCCTCCTCCTCCACCATCTTCTGACCAAACCCCCCAAAGCTCCGTCCTCGTACCCTTCAAATCCTCACTCTCCCCTGACGATGGTATCTCCCTCCTTCTTCCCGCGCCGACCACCGACGACACCCCTCCCCGATTCCCTCCCGATCCCCCCCACGACCTTCCGCCCATGGTACTGGCCGCTTGAGGGCGCGACGCACCTCGCCACCACCTGGACGGACTACTGGACGGCGTGGAAGATGTCGGCGTGGCCGCGGCGCCTGTGCTTCTGGACGATTTGGGTCGGCGAGCGTGTCGGCCTGTGGGACCGGGGCGTCACGGACGCGATGACCACGTTGGCGTACTGCGTCGACAGTACCGCCGAGGCGGGCCGCGAGGGGATCTTCAGTCCCTGTTGGTGGTTCGTTGGGCGGAAGGTGGGGGATCATCATCATGATGAGGATGGTGATGACAGAGAGGGCGAAGGTGCGGATCGAGATGGACGCGGACAGGGACAAGCCTACGGGAGAGTCAACGCCAATGGCAATGGAGATGGAGATGGTGGCGGTAGTGGGGAGACGAGAGAAGATTTGAGCGTCCTTGTGTATTGATGTGTGGTATTCCTTGCGAAGGAGAATGTCGTGTGGCACTCACTACTGGTTACACTCTGCCGTGGCCATCAATCTCCCTGCTGTTCAGAGACGAGCAAGTTATACATACGCGCACTGCGAAAGCTGTGACTCGGTTCTTGAATATGGCATTCACGGATATCAAATGCATCAGCCATTATCTCTCCAGGCTCGGCCACAAACTCCCGAAATCTGGTCATACAGAGGAAGCCAATGCAACTTCCATGGATATTCCACCATACTATCCTCGATTTCCAGCGAGCGTCATGTCGGAGCAATCCTAGACCCCCATAGCATACGCAAACAAATCCGTGACATTTGGTATCAATTTCCGTAGCACAATTCTTGTTTCCCCCCCCCCGACCACTTGCCTTCATAATGTCTCCGCGCTATGATCCCACAAAAATGCCGCCCTGAAATTATCGACGTTATTTCCTTGGCTTGCCAGCAAGCTTTGGAAGTCGGCTTGGGATTCGAAGTCGACAAGAGTCGACTACCGCCTCGAGACGAGCCGTGAAGCTCGACTTGACACTGTTTTGAGCGAAGCCAGCTTTTACAAACTTGGCCCATGTGTTGGTCAGGACCAATTCTTTGATGCTGAGCTCAGCCTTGTCAAAGACCTTCTCGTCGAAAGCGTCGGGAATGCCGATGTTAGCGGGCAGTCTCTCGCCGAAATTGGTCATCTTCAACTGTTGCAGTTGGAGTGATTCACTGTTTTCGCGTCTCAACTCGCCTCTGCCACCTTCTCCTACTACTGTCGACACGACCGACAATTGATCCTTCCCCATTTGGCTTTCTAGGTCCTCGGAGACGGTGGAGGACCAATAGTTTTCAAAGGGCGTGGCAGCATTCGATGTTGGTTCTGCGCAGACGAGGGCAGCATATTGCTCGAAGATCGCCTCCAGGTCTCTGAGATGAGCAGAAGAGATGTTGATCGGAAACTCGGAATAGTTCAGGCTCACGAAGGAGGCATAAATTCCAACCGCTTGTTGAAACTGTCGCCGCGTCAATTCCTGGTCGTTCGTTCTGGCATGTCCTTGCTTGCGCAGCATCCCGGATCTCGGAGTGGCAGTAAGCCAGGCAGCCTTCCAGTCTCGTACGTGAATCAGGAAGCTGATGTTCTCTCCCGAGAAATCCTTCAACGCCGAGAACATGAGAAGAGGGGTAGGATTCAGCTTCAGCGTTGTCTCGAGAGCGCTCATAGTGTACATCTCTCCTTGGCGGGCGCTTGTGGTGCTCTTGACAGATTGGCGTGTAGAAGCCCGTGATCGAACGCCGGCTTTGGTCGACCCTGCGTTCAGCGAGCCGTTGAATTTCTGCTTTTCCTCCCACTCGGCGATGATCTCGCGTGTTTCGGTCTCGAGTTTTCTGTTCTTGAATATCTGAAAGAAAGGGACAAATATGACCGAAGCTTGCATGATGACAATGGAAGGAGAAAACCTGAATAGCATGAGTGGACAATCACCGTCAATAGGACAATAGGAGCGAATCTCACCATAGGGGAGGGACAAAGTACTTGTCGACTGTCGTTTGCAAGGGTCCAGCATACAGTGCGACTAACCACATGGGTGAGGCAGGTAACCTGGTGTCATCAATAGAAGCCGTCACGTGTGGTTGTCGTCAACACTTACCCAGCAACAATGCAAGCGATGGTTTGCGTCCGCCATCCGTGAACATCATGGATATTCCGGACTCTCCAGAGAAGTACAGGAGCATACATCCAAGACCAGACGATTTGCCACACGATTGAAGGCCACCTGACCAGTGTTAGATTTCACTCCAGGGTGTTTGAGCACCAGGCTTACCATTCCCATCCACGTCGGCAGAGTGATCTTGTGGTCACCTGTCCTGTGACTCCGAACCCCGGGTGGAATTTTCGCGAGGCAAGAAAGATGATGAGTGCAAAGACAACCTGGGGAGTTAGTAACAGGGTGCCAGGTGAAGTGACTATTACTTACTTGGACACTCATACCAATCCCAATCCATGCCATGGTATTCTTTGTAGCGTTGTATGTCTTGAGTCTGCGCCACCACTTGCGCCATACTGGGGTCTTCCGGTCTGTGATCGGCTGGGATTCGACCAGAACATCTCCATGCGCATATCTTTTCTGTGCTGTCGCAACAGAGAGTAATTGAGAGTTTGTTGCTTGGAATAGAGCGATGCCCAATGGGAGATAGATACTCATAATCCAGTATTCGGTGGCACAGGGGAAGTATCCATTCAGGACATAGGCGATCATGCACAAGACCCAGTACACATGGAGAGTTGCAACAGCACTGACCGCGAGAGGTATATTCCGAATGCGTAGGTACGGCAAGTGTCGATTGCGCATGAGAAATACAGCAGCAGGAAGTAAGAGGCAGGTCCACGCGATGACGAGACCGATGTAAGTGATTCCGAGTCCGTCGGTGTTGTACCTCAGCGCCATATCATAGCCATTTGCATAAGCGTGTTGAACTTGAGTCGACATGGCAATGGTACCTCGATCAGCACTATTAATATCCCGTGGCATGGAGCCAGCACATGGTGAAGTAGGTGAAGCCATCCGTACCAGCGGATAAGCGTGTTCAGTGAGAGGGTTCCAAATAAGCCAGTGCCTTGATGTCGATATGACGGCGAGAGATTGGAAGGAGAAGATGGATATGCTGGACAGATGAGTGAAGTAAGACGAGCGCGTGTCGACGCAGGTCGGCAGTGTGCGTCGCTCAAATCTCAGTGTGCGCGGTCAGGAGACCAGGTTAATTACCGCCGTGGCAGCGATATTGGCGTGAGGGTGTGTGTGGCACAAGACGACAGGAGAGGTGAGAAGAGGTGGTGTCGAAAGGAAGGAACGCGGGAAGGACGAGATGGACACAATCATTCACAAAGTCAACGAAGGTGTGAAGCTGAGATGAGAAACACAAAGATGTGAGAGATGAGGTCTTCTCCTTCTCTCTGCCTCTTTCCCCTCCAGTTAGCTGACAGTTGATCGTCACTTTGAACTCGCAAGGCTTTGTGTTCCTTTTCGATCGCCTGCCATCGTCACTTTGAGGTGCGGCACGCGATGGGTTTTATGTACTGTTTCATGGGTGATGCACTTGCCTTCAGATTTGTTGCCGCACCCCTACCACCAGATTGTTGGTTCCTCCAGACTCCCTGATCGCAGTCTTTGACGTGGCAGACCATCACTTCCTCCTCGCCCACGATCTGACCTGATTGAGAACCATCACCAGCATTGCGGGGAGATGAAGAAGCGGAAGAGGAGGAATTCATGTTACATCCCCGTGTGAGCCTTGCAGGGCACGGGAGCGCAGCATTGGGAAACAAAGAAAAACGAGCTCATGTGGAGTCGAAGAACCCCAGTCAACTTCCAAACATCCTTCCATGCTGAACCCCCTGTCAGCCCTTCTGCACAACCTTATCCCAGATTGAGTGATCGAACGTTATGGTGCGTCGTCTTCCCCCTGGCGGACGAAGGCCGTTCACGCCGTTGAACGTTCCTTAATTCTGACCCCAGTCAAGTGCGCCATAACCAAGCATTCGCTATCAACCTGATTACCTCGTACAAGTACGAACAATTGCCGCGCCACCGCGCTCCACTTCCCGTTGCTGCCGTACAGACCTGTCCAGGCCAAGCCAGTCACTCTAAGCGACAACATGGATCCCTTCTCGATTGATGAACACTGCATTGCGCAGTTTGAGCCTTGGCAGGAAATGGCTTAAGCGAATACCATATTGGATTGGAGACACCTGCGGCAGATATTGACAGACGCACTCGTTTTTCTCGAGCTAGAAACCCTCTGTGTGCAGAACAGGGTTTCCGGACCAATGGCCAGAGGAGAGTATGAAAGCATCGCATTTGCCATGGTGTGACGAAAGGGAAGTTTGTACCAGTTCTCGATGCGGCTGTGTTACTCTAGCGATCTAGGAAACATTTGACCAGGCAACACACCATCCTCCATGGCAACAAGCAGTGAACACGGAGTAATTTCAGTGGCACTTGGAAACAGCCAACCAGGTCATCACTGTCGGGCAACGTTGAGCATCTACAATCTACTCGTGTACAAGTCCTACTGACATCTACCGCTCCCTTCATGATGGGAGAGACAGGCAGATGAGCCGGGTTGATCGTCCCGAAGAGACGATTCGGATCATCACCACAAGGTCTCGAGACATTATACCATGGGTGAGGCCGTCAGACAAGCTGGTGCGATTTGATAGGTAACGATGAACACGAGTTGACTTGTTCCAAAGTAGAGGAATATCCCAGACACGCACGCGATGGTAACTCTAACGGAAGGCAAGGTGCAGGAGTGGGCCGGAAGATTGCAGAAATGGCGGAGGGCAGTGATGCAAAGATGGACCACTTTCGTCAGTCAGTAAAGCATGGATCGAGCTGCTCAGGGCGGGATCAGAAGGGTCTTTTGGGGCCATCTCCCAAGCAGCGGGTCCTCTCAGAAGACCAGATGGGATTCAGGCTTCTTTCCTAGCACAAGGTCAGCAATGAACTTGCAGAGCTTGAGTGAACATGCAAAGGTGTCAAATTTCCTCAGAGATCTTGGTGAATGGGATACGATCATGTCAATGTTGATCATTTACTATCTAGTGCAAAGGGTGTAATCATCGGAAAAGCCGATCAGAGAACAAAGTACGTACCTTGCATGTTACATGGTCACCAGAGAAGGCTTTGACACAAATCAAGAAACAGTCATTTATACTGCTCGCTGAAGGGATTCCGAGTAAGTCGAGGTGAAAGGGGAACGCAACAATTCGAAAAGCAACTGTTCGCAGTGTCAGTACATTATTCGTAGCCTTTAACATGCCAAACGAAAGCAGGGTGCACGTTTCTAAACTCAGCATATGTAAGAAATGAATATCATCTCTTTGGGACTGTTAAGAGGCTCCGGCGAGAGTCTCCAGTACCAAATTCAATCGCAAATTATAACATCATAAGAAAGTGATAGGATAGGAGAACAAGACACTCACATATTAATCAAGCCGT